CTAGCGCTTAAAGCTCAAACTCAATTAAAGTACAGTAAATTAGAATGTAATAAGCGACTAAAATACGTAATTATAGCATATCATCACATGTACCCCTTCTTTTGTTGTTTCTCCTTTTTATAATGATTGCATGGGGACTATGCTCCACACAAAAAGTCACGCTTTATAATAACTTTTACGTAGTATTAATGTATAAGTATCTCTTGGATACACAAAAAAAAAAAAAGATTTACAAGCAAGTAGACATATTGTAACTGAATTTATTTTCACATAGTTGAAATATTAAAGTTCAATTAGGTCGTCATAAGCCTAAGATTTCGTGACAGTATTCATATTGTGACCTTGGACCACTTAATAATTTCTTTGCACTCCAATTTTGTAATCAAAGCCTTTATTTCAACGGCAACGATCATATACGTAATGGAGAAGTTGTTCTAATTTGGAGGACTCTTGACGTATTGTATTACCTCCCATATCTTTAATACAAGTTTAATGTAATGTCAATTTGAAGTAGTCAAACGGTCACCGGAACCAAACTAATAAATTAAGATTGTAATTGCACGTCATAATAGCAACTGAGATATACGATAGGATAATTGAGACCTCTCTCCTTTCATTTATAGATTTGGCGAAATGATTTTTGGTAAACTTCCTTAGTCGACATACTTGATGTTAATTTTAACGGATAAGGGCTAGATATGTTCTGTACTATCGAAAAATAGTTATTAGTACCCCCGTTATAGTATCCTTCACTATCTACCCCTACCGTTACCCATTTTAATATTTCTGCCCCCACATTTAACGGAGTCGTGCCCTGCGTACACGTGGTAGTTTTTTAAGTGTCCAGACCCATTTTTCATTTCAACCTAGTATCCATACCCGTAACTCCAGACCCATTTACATTACCAGTGAACTATTTCTTTGCATTAAGTCTTTCTTTTACAAAATTCTCTCTCCTTGAAAATAAATATTTTTCACCGGCCTAAGCTAATCTAGTGCGATTAAAATTAGCACAGACAATTTAAGAAAGCAAAAACTAGATTTTAGTTAATATGTGTTAATGCTAAGCTAATCTAGCCATGAGTAAACAAAGAAATGAAGTTAGAACATGTTGACCAGTAGCTGAGTCACAAGCTAATGGTTAACTGTAGTTAAGTCTAATTATCATGTTAACTAGAGTTAGTTAGATAATTAGTTTGTAAGAGGCGGTTATTTTTTTGTTAAGTAGTTAGTAGTTAAATACTGTAGCCCTTGTACAGTTGATTATTCAGAAATGAAGAAGCTCTGCTCTTTCTTCTCCAATTTCCTCTCTGAATCTCTCACTTCTTTCTAGCTTCAGTTGATCTCCCATGGCTTCTATCATGGTATCAGAGCCATCAATATAAGATCTAATTTGAACGAGCAAACTAATTTCTTCGCTTAGGTTACTTCAATTTTGCATCTCAAATTGCAGAATTGCCTCAGAGTAACTCAGAATCGAAGCTAGGGTTTTGGAAGTTGTTCTTTCTTCGAAGATAATTTTCTAGTACCAATGGCGATTGAAGGTGATCAAGTCAATGCCTCTACCACTCCAACTCGTATTGCTATAGCTACGACCTCAGAGAATGGCAATTTTGTGGCCAGCTCCTCATTTCCTGCTGACGATCACAACCATCCTCTGTACCTACAGCCTACTGACACACCAGGTAGTTCTCTGATCTCTCTTCAGCTTACTGGATCTGATAACTACGCCTTGTGGAGTCATGCAATGCGAATTGGCTTATTAGGTAAAGGCAAGTTAGGTTTTGTTGATGGTAGGTTTCCTAAGTCTAGGTTTGAACCTGAACTTCATGATTTGTGGGAGAAAGTGAATGCTATCGTTTTGTCATGGATAACAAATGCTGTGAGACCAGGTTTGTTGAGTAGTGTCTTATATGCATCTAGTGCTCATAAAGTGTGGGAAGATCTAAAGGAGAGATTTGACAAAGTTAACGGGTCCAGAATTCTGTACCTACATAGAGAAGTTCACACCTTAGTTCAGGAAGTTATGACAGTGACTGACTATTTCTCAAAACTAAGAGAACTTTGGGATGAATTTGATGCTCTTATGCCATGTCCTGGTTGNAGCCTTGCTCTGATACCAATTGAAAGTACAAGAGGGGGAGGGGGGGGGTGGAATTGTCACTAATTGAAATTAATAGTTACTGAGTTGACTTAAAACTTTAGTAGTCGACTAAATATGGCAATCTTGCAGATATAACAGTTTGAGGTAATATGCAGAAAGTAAATGCAGAAATTAAAGACACCAAGAATTTTATACTGGTTCAGATTCAATGTGAATCCTAATCCAGTCCCCTTGGGTTGCAAGGGATTTCTCTTCAAGCAAATGAGTTTTCTTTGGAGTACAGATGTGATGTATATCGCTCAGATTCTCTAGCACTCGTTTGATACAATGCCTCACCAGTTGTATGCGCTATTTCTTTCCTTGACTTATTACACAGCAGATCTATGTAGGCTACTATGCTTGTTTGCAGTAGAATGAAGAGAGTTATTTTGGTCCGATCAAGGTATGCTAAGGATGATGTTACACAGTACATTTATACAAAGATGAATGGTGAAGGCTCGTCAACCCAAGGGTTTTGATCCTTGGAAAGAATTGATTCTTTCCAAGAATAAGGAACTATCCGTTGCTTCTCTTGATATCTTTTCCTTCGACAGACAATGGAATTAACAAGATTTCTCCTTGATTGTTGGACCTTCCAAACTTGACCACTGATCGGATCTTCTAGCCTTTATTATTCTCCCGTGATTTCGCCAATCACAGATCACTTCGAATCTTCACTTCGTTATGGCTGATTTGATTTCCCAGATTCACGGAGCTAATCCTGATTTGTTGATGTAGATTTGTAGCTTTCCTTGTACACCGTGCGTTCTATAGGTGGCTTCCCTTGTGAGAGATTTCCTTCTTTGTTCGACACAGCCATTTCACTAGTTCTTCTTTACTTCTTTGAACTCCTGCATATGTATATTAATTGCATCATTAAAATATGATCTAACACTCTCCCAGTGGTCAGGTGAAGGGGATTGGTAGAGAAGAACATGGTTTATACATACTACGTGGGAGTACCTCTGTTGCAAACTCATCTCAGCCAACAAATGAAGTTCCTGCTGTCTCAGCAAATGATAAATCTAGCTCTTTACCTGCTTCCAGTATTTCATCTAGAACACATGTCTCTAGTATTTGTAGTTTGTGGCATAAGAGACTTGGACATGCTCCTATAGATGTAATAAAGAAGATAGAAGCATTGAATGGTCTGACAACAGGAGCTCTTAGTCAGCCCTGTACTGTATGTCCTGTTGCTAAACAAACTAAGATGCCCTTTCAGCTAAGTAGTTCTACTTCTAAATCTAATTTTGAGCTAGTTCACTGTGATATTTGGGGTCCATATAGAGTACCTACACATGATGGTAAAAGGTACTTTGTTACCATAGTTGATGACTATAGCAAGTTTACTTGGGTATTTCTATTGAACTGCAAATCAGAAGCAATTGTAGTCCTAAGAGATTTTCTTACTCAAGTGAGCAATGTGTTCTCTAGTACTGTTAAAACTCTGAGAACAGATAATGGAAGTGAATTCTTTAGCACTGCATTCAAGAATTTGTTGCTAATCTTGGTATTGTACATCAGAGCTCTTGTGTTTACACACCCCAACAAAATGGGGTAGTGGAGAAAAAAACAGAACCATTTTGGACATGGCCAGATCTCTCAGATTTCAAGCATCTGTGCCTTTAAAATTCTGGGGAGAATGTGTTACTGCAGCAGTATATCTACTGAACAGGCTACCTTCTAAGGTGATTGGAAACAAATCTCCCTTTAAAAGGCTGTATCTGTATCCACCCTCTCTGTCTCACCTCAAGGTATTTGGTTGTCTGTGCTACTCTACTTCTCCTAAAGTCCTTGATAAGTTTTCTCCTAGAGCAGTACCAGCTGTGTTCTTAGGCTACCCTTCTACTCAAAAGGGCTACATACTGTATGATCTACATGCCAAGCACCTTGTAGTTAATAGAAATGTGGTGTTTCATGAATCTATATTTCCCTTCAAGCATACTAGGGATTCAGGAACTATGGTGTTTCCTGTTCTAGATCTACTTTCTCCTGAGTTGAATGCCTTCCCTACTTCTTCTTCAATACCTAAAGTAGAAAGGTCAACTGAACCTGCTGCAAATCAAAGGCCATCTGATTGTTCTGCAGAAGTTCCTTCTCTCTCTCCAGGCAGAATTGCTTCTGAGTCTATCCCTTCTACTATGCCTAATCTTCAAGACAATGGTTGTGCTGAGTCATTTGTTGGTCAGTCTGATCTTGTTGAGAACCTTGAAGGATGCAGGAGATCCTCCAGACCAAGCAAACCACCTGTGTGGTTGCAGGATTATGTCACTCTTGCCAAAGGCTCAAAATGCACTTACCCTATTTCTTCTTATGTTGATTATTCACATATCTCTCCAACATTTAGACAGGCTCTCACAGCCTATTCAGCTATTACAGAACCTACTACCTTCACAGAGGCTGCTGCTGATCCTAGGTGGGTGAAAGCTATGCAGTTGGAGATTGATGCACTTAAAGATAACAAAACTTGGAGTGTTGTGGATCTTCCACCTGGAAAGACACCCATTGGCTGCAGATGGGTGTATAAAGTCAAGTACAAAGCATCTCGGGAGGTAGAAAGATTCAAAGCTAGGCTGGTTGCTAAGGGATACAGTCAAAAGGAAGGTTTAGACTATGGTGAAACCTTCTCTCCTGTTGCTAAGATAGTTACTGTTAGATCCATTATTGCCTTAGCAGCCTCTCAACATTGGTTGATTTTTCAAATGGATGTTCATAATGCCTTCCTCAATGGTGATCTTTTTGAGGAGGTTTATATGCATATACCTGAGGGGTTTGCTAGACAAGGGGAGAATCACAAGAGAGTCTGCAAACTTCATAAGTCCCTCTATGGACTAAACAAGCTCCAAGACAATGGAACATGAAGTTAACAGAGGCCCTAGTGTGTATGGGGTTCCAGCAAAGCCATTATGACTATTCTTTGTTTACAAAGAAGGCTGGGAGTGATATAGTAGTCATACTGGTATATGTAGATGATCTTTTGATCACTGGGAACAATCAACAGTTGCTGTGTGAAACAAGATCAGATCTCAAGAAAAGGTTCAAGATGAAGGATCTAGGAGAGCTAAAATTCTTCCTAGGTATTGAGTTTGCAAGGTCTAGACAAGGAATTCTCATGTGTCAAAGAAAATATGCACTAGAGTTAATCTCTGAGTCAGGACTAAGTGGTGCAAAGCCAGCTGCCACACCCTTAAAGCTGAACCAGAAGTTAACAACCACTGAGTTTGATAAGTGTTTCAGTACCAAGAACACTAACTCAGATGAAGTGCTGAAGAATCCTGGTACATATCAAAGACTGGTAGGAAGATTGCTATATCTCACTATGACCAGGCCAGATATTGCCTTTATGGTGCAAGTGCTCAGTCAGTTCATGCATTGTCCTAAAGTGTCTCATATGGAAGCAGCATTGAGAGTAGTAAGATATCTAAAGCAGGCACCAGGTCTGGGACTGCTTATGCCTGGAGAATCTTCAAGTAAGCTGACTGCTTACTGTGACTCAGATTAGGGGGCATGCATACAGACAAGGAGGTCTGTTACAGGGTACTTAGTCAAATTTGGGAATGCACTGATATCCTGGAAGTCTAAGAAACAGAGTACTGTCTCCAAAAGTTCAGCAGAAGCAGAGTTTAGAAATATGGCGTCATGTGCAGCAGAGGTCACTTGGTTAACTGGTTTATTCAATGAGCTAGGTGTCAAGATTGAACTGCCAACAACCTTGATATGTGATAGCAAAGCAGCAATCCAAATAGCTTCTAATCCAATATTTCATGAAAGAACAAAGCACATTGACATAGATTGTCACTTTGTAAGAGAAAAAATTAGCCTGGAACTACTGAGAACTGAACATGAAAATACAGAAGATCAACTAGCTGATTTGCTTACGAAGGGATTGGGTAAAGCTCAACATGAGTACCTGCTGGCCAAATTTGGGCTGAAGAACTTGTTTGGATCATCAACTTGAGGGGGAGTGTTGACCAGTAGCTGAGTCACAAGCTGATGGTTAACTGTAGTTAAGTCTAATTATCATGTTAACTAGAGTTAGTTAGATAATTAATTCGTAAAGAGGCGGTTATTTTTTTGTTAAGTAGTTAGTAGTTAAATACTGTAGTCCTTGTACAGTTGATTATTCAGAAATGAAGAAGCTCTGCTCTTTCTTCTCCAATTTCCTCTTTGAATCTCTCACTTCTTTCTAGCTTCAGTTGATCTCCCATGGCTTCTATCAGAACACATTAAATTGCAATTGTAAAATCGCAACAATTTTCAGAAGTATGCAAAGTTCTTGAAGATAAACAATTGCAGTATTTTCAGCTCTCAAATGTCCACCAAATCTATTTTAAATTTGTCCCAAATAACCTTCCAATCTAGCTCAATCCCAAGACCTTCAAGGTTCAACAATGGCATTTCTGTTTTTTAAATTTTGTGAACCAATAGCTCGAAATTTTAACAATGAGATTCTTCTTCTTCAATCCAAATTTCAACAGTGTACTAACAACTGAAGCTTGATAAACAATACTAATTACAATAGAAAGAACCAATTTGAACAAACATCAACAAAATTAAACTACCAGTTCGTCTTTTTCGAGTTTAAACATCAAACCCACTTCTAAAATTCAAAGTTTGTTCATCAATAGTGGATCTTAAATTTTCGCACAAACTCAAACTACTATCATCACAAAGAACTTGAAAGTTATTCAAGTGTTCGAATACCAAATCGTACAAATAATGAGCCACAATTTGAGCTTAAGTTTTCAGCTCCCGATTTGAAACACAACCAACTCTTAAAACTCAAACTTGAAATTTCTACTACGGATTTCCCCAAATACCGAAGTTAAAGAATCATCCGATTTCTTTTTCTTTTTTTTTTTTGAATCCAGCAGCCTTAGATGGGCTGAAAAAGTTTCCTCCATATAAACGATGGAGAAGAACCATATGTATGGATTAAATTTTAGGTTCTTTTGGGGTGGGTTTGGATATCGGGTCGGGGCTGAACGGGAAGGGTAAAAGGGTAGATGGTTAGATTGTTTAAGATCGTGCCACGTGTCTTAAAGAAAGAGTCCGTTAGATGTGGGGGTAGAAATATTAAAATGGGTAACGGTAGGGGCAGATAGTGAAGGATAGTATAACGGAGGGTATTAATAACTAATTTTTGATAGTGCAGGGACACATCTGACCCTTTTCCGTAATTTTAATCAGGTCAATACACTCGATTACCAAATGATTTTTAAAAAAAACGTACAAAAATAATTGAAGCATAACGTTGAAGATACTTTTTGTCCTATGAGACTCAACTGTACGATATGAAGGGTTTTTTTTTTTTGCATTTATACCCGGTTTTGGGGTCACAATTGAACCTCTAGCCGCTTATTAAAAAAATTTGCAAGCCTACCCACTTTACGATCAACTTCATACTTATCGGGTCTAAAGTTAATAAAACTAGTCTGAAGTGAAAAAATTGCACTTCAGGCAAATAGGTGTGAAGTGCAACCAATAATTTCATGCACTTAAGGTCAATAAGTCTGAAGTGAAAAATGGCACTTCAGATGCACTTAAGGCCAAAAGGACTGAAATGCAACAAACGTTTTCCAACACTTAAGGCCAATAAGTCTGAAGAGAAAAATTGCACTTACGGCCAAAAGGTCTAAAGTGCAACCAACATTTTAATGCACTTAAGGCCAAATAGACCTGAAGGGCAAATTGCCTAGAAACAGAAATTTGTTCTTCGAATTTTAACAATCCAATATACAATATAATACCTAAATCTACTCCAGATGAGCTCAAATTTGAAACATAACCTCCAAATATCATCAAGAACCAACATCAATCATCAATTTGTCAAAAAAATAATAAATCTAACGAACCCATTTTGCAACTAAGAAAAAGAAAAAGAAGAAACTCAAAGCATCATAAACTACCTTAAAATATATTCACAAACACCATATAAAATTATTGTTACTCGAAGAAAGAGAAGTAGAAGAAGAAAGAGGAGAAGAATGTCTGAAGTTGTTTAAACAGTAGGTACAAGTTAAAAGAAATTTAAAAAGTGGGTGTAGGTTAAATGGGAGTGACCAAATAAGGCGCCCCGCGCAATTTTTACTATATGAATGACATTGATATTTGAAAGGGATTTTTACATACCTATACACTATTGGAAACTTTATTACCCTACCTACTCAAGTTTTAGTTTAACTACATCTTATATACAAATTTACCAATTATATACACTTTAGGAATTAAATGAGTATCCCTTTATATTAGGAATCAATTATTTCTTATCCTTATTCTCTCTCCCTCATGCGCTCTCTTTCTCCGTCTCTCTCTCTCTCTCTCTCTCTCTCTCTCTCTCTCTCTCTCTCTCTCTCTCTCTCTCTCTCTCTCTCTCATGCGCTCTCTCTCTCTCTCTCTCTCTCTCTACGTTTCTCTCTATCTCTCAATCTCTAATTCCGGTAATGTAGAGCAAAGAAAAAGAGAGCAGCAATTCCACCATTGACAGCCATTAAAAAGCTTTGAATTCGAATTTGGGTTTTCAAAAAATATTATTTGTTTGAATTAGGTATTGTTGCAAACAATTGGAATTCTCTCTACGTCTCTCTCTATCTCTCAATCCCTAATTCCAATAATGTAAAGCAAAGGAAAAGAGAGCAGCAATTCCACCATTGACAGCCAATAAAAAGCTTTGAAGCTTTGAATTCGAATTTGGATTTTCAAAACCATTATTTGTTTGGATTGGGTATTGTTGCAAACAATTGGGAATATGGTTTGGAGTTTATATTATACCTGTTTATCGGGCGGGCTGGGACGGGCTGAACGGAAAAAACTCCAGCCCGTTCGGTTAGGGCGGGTTGTTTAGCGGGCTGGGATAACGGGCTAGTGGTGGGTTGGGAAATTTTGGGTTTTTTAGGGCCCGTTCGGGTTCGGGCTAAGCGGGTTCGGGCGGGGCGGGCTACAGTTTTTTTTTTTAATTAAATTTTATTTTTCTTATTCAATTGTTATTGATACTTAAGTATTTGCAAACTTTTAAGGGTTAGAATTAAACTTTGAAGTTTAAAGTTTAAAGTTTGAAATTTGAAATTTGTATTTTAAAATTATAAAATTGAAATTAGAAAGTAAGTGGCTACAAAAAATTATTTAATAAGACCAATAGGCAATATGTAAGGAACAAACTCCGAAGGCTTTCATTTTATATTCTTAATACTTCAAATTAATTTGCAAGTTCTTTTTTGATTTTTTTATTTTTGAACTTGCAAATTAAAAGTTTACAACAACTATAAAAATAAGAAATAGTACGTCACATATTTTGCATCATTTTTGTAAGTTCTTCCATGTCAACATGAGGTTCTAGGTTTCCGGCATTGGTTGAATCGGAACCATAAACCATTATATCTCCAATTTCTTGGTCCTCCTCTTCGTCTACCTCGGCACGCCCTTGATTTTGCCGTTCTGATCTTATCCAATCTCTGAAGCACACTAGAATTTCCAAAGCGTTGTTGCCCAATGAATGACGGGTATCTCCTAGCTGCTGCCTTGCTTGGCTAAATGCGCTCTCTGATGTGACTATTAAAATCGGCACATTTATCACGTCTCGAGTCATGGCCGAAAGAACAAAAAATTGATTTGAGTTGCTCTTCCACCAACCCAGCGGTAGAAAATCCTTTGTAAGGGGCTCTGGTGACTTTTGCAAGTAGAATTGTACTTCATCAATATTCCTGCTACTGATTTGTTGATGCTCTCCTAGTGTAGACCAAATCAGATAATCTTGAACACAATCATCATCATTCATAGTTGTTCCAGATGTTGAAGGATTAGTTGAAGGAATATTTGCATCTACAACCGAAGAAGCATCAACAATATTAGCATAATAATTATATAAAGTTTGTAAATGTGTGTGTAGCTCAGAAATACAAGTGTCAATATCAGGAGTTTCAGTTGGTCCAATATCCATATAAGTATATAAGTCTCTAATTAATTGGCGACACTTTATCATTTTGACAGTAGGGTTTAAAATAGCACCAATTAGGTAAATATAAGAAATTGGGTAGAAATATTTTTTAAACTTATCTAGCGTAGATTCAACAACAGTAGCATATCCTTCTTTCTGCTTCAAATTATGTAGTAAAAGAGAAATTTCAGCAATATGAACTAAACCATTTGCAATAGTAGGATAATAAGCTCCAGAAAACTCAAGTGTAGCCACATAAAATTTTTGTAAAAATTGTACAACATCATGAATGACATCCCAAGTTCTAGATGTTAACAAACGGTTAGGATCGGTACAATAAGAAATAGCAACTTCAGTTATAGGCATTTTATATATATAACAACATCTTAAGAATAAATAAGTATAATTCCACCTAGTAACTATTTCTTCAGGCATGAGTCTTGGTTTTAGTCCATAGTGTACACATTTTTCCTTAAATGCATTTAATCTAGCACTTCTATTATTTCCTTGAATTACACCAACAGCTCTCCTAACTAAAGTAATTTCATCTCTAAATAATTCAAGGCCAC